GGTCCTTTCCAACCCAAACCAGTTTGTGATTGTAATGCAGAGAGCATTTTCTGTATAATGTTGCTGTTTTTTCTTCATAGTCGCTTGATGGCGTTAAAAAGAATGGGAATTGTCAAAGACTATGAGGTAGGATTCTGTCTGCACTGAAACAGCCTTGCATTTTCCCTGTGTGAGGACCACTTCTGATGAACTGATGTGTGTTTGGTTTCTTCCTGCAGAAAATCCGTACCTTTACGGTTGCAGTCGTAGGTGTAGGTGGAGTTGGCAGTGTGACTGCTGAAATGCTGACACGGTGTGGCATTGGTAAGGTAATGAGAGCTTTCTTCCTCTGCTTCTGTACAGTAGGTGGACCAGCCATCTTCATAAAGAACTAGATTTGATTTCACTCAGTTGATTTTGCCCAAATAAAAGAGTACTAAAGAAAGCACTCAAGAATAGTACTTGTGTAAGCATCACTGGTAGAGTCTGTATTTTCCTTATGCTAGTAAAATTGATTTACTTAGGGCTTAATCCTTGGTCATGTGGATGATTCTTGTCTGGATGCTTATCTTCGTGCTCTTATGTGAGTCCATCTGTCTAACCTTCGTGCTGGATTATTGAACAAGGAAAATAAAGAAGGGGATAACTCACATAGAAGATAAAGTCTTATGAGAACACAAGTTGATAGATATGAAGTTGGAATGTGGTAGATGTAGAAATGGTATTTTTGTCACAAATATTAGTTTATCATGTGGCACTTGGAGCTAAAAATTTAGTAGCAATTAAAAATAATTTGATGTGTGTTTCAAGAACCTCCAGAGTTAACAGGATTTTTCTTTAAGGAAGGAATCTTGGGAATGGCTTAGATGTTTGTATTTCCAGGCAAATCCTGACCATATACTCTTAGAACTTCAGGAAGTTTCTTAATACAGAGGTGATGCAATTTTTGATTGCAAAGTTTATTCTCCCTTCCTGTGAAGGAGCATTTCCTGAAGACCAGCATCTTGGGCATAGAAAAGGACATTGGACAGTTGATTCAGAGTTTATAATAACCAACATGTCTGTCTATTATGTAGGTACTTTAAGTGAATTGTTTTTGAAGAACTATTTGCCAGGACAAGCAAAAGAAATGATTTATTTCTATTTAATGCCATAACAGCAAGTAGGAATGTGATAACAGAGGTGATGCTGTTCATGTAGATAATCTGTTGAATATTCCTAGTTCAGATCAAATGAACAGATTGCTTTTTAAGAATGGTTTTCATGACTCAGTCAGTTAGTTTCTGGTGAATGTTACTTGAATTCAGTCTTTCACATACTTACAATCTTAGCGGCTTTTGTATGCGAACTGAATGGGACTGTGGAAGTGGGGGTTGTTGGGTTGGGGGTGGTTTTGTTATTGGTTTTAGAATGAGTTTTGTCATTTAAAATGCCTTGCCATAATGCTCTGGTTGCACAGTGTTTGTGTTATCATATGTGGATCTCCAATCTTTATTGTAGCTGCTTCTGTTTGATTATGACAAAGTGGAATTGGCAAACATGAACAGACTCTTCTTCCAACCTCATCAAGCTGGATTAAGTAAAGTGCAAGCAGCAGAGCATACTTTGAGGTATGACTTAGAGAAGTGGGTATCAAAATTTATTTACCCAGGATACTGCTCCAGAAAACTGATGTTTCACTCTTAATCACTTGCAAAGTAGCATGATCTCATTTGGAAATTTGCGTATAACATAGCTGTGGGAATGGTTGGTACTTTATGGACATTTTTATACTGGCCAAAACCTTAATGTGAGTTTGCTTTTTAAATATGGCTAAGTCTGCTCAGAAGTTTGGTATAAACTCTGTCACTTCAGTGTTGTGGGGCTTTTCTCATCTAATCTGTGAGATATTGATAAGTATGAATATATTCCAGATGTCAGACTGGAAGTTAGGAGGTAGAATGCAAGTTATTATATTTATTGATATTGGCTCTTATTATTTTCTCCATAAGGAATATTAATCCTGATGTTCAATTTGAAGTACATAACTACAACATCACAACACTGGACAACTTTGAACACTTCATGGATAGAATAAGGTAAAATCTCTCCACAAAAGCTTATTGATAACTTCTGCTGGTGTGTGGTTCTGTACAGCCTGACTTTTGTTGCGTGGGGTTTTTGATTTAATGGCTTCCAATTGAAAACCAGTGGGAAATATGTCTATATGAAGACATTCCTGCCTAGATCTTTTCTTTGGAGTTGGCACTTATTTCACAGAATCACAGAATGGTTTGTGTTGGAAAAGACCTTAAGATCACCCAGTTCCAACCCTTCCACTAGAGCACGTTGCTCCAAGACCCTGCATCCAACCTGGCCTTGAACACTGCCAGGGACGGGGCAGCCCCAGCTTCTCTGGGCACCCTGTGCCAGTGCCTCAGCACACTCATAGGGAAGAACTTCTGCCTTAGATCCAACCTGACCTTCTCCTGTTTCAGTCTGAACCTATCATCCCTTATCCTGTCACTACAGTCCCTGATGAAGAGTCTCTCTCCAGCATCCCTGTAGCCCCTTCAGACACTGGAAGCTGCTGTAAGGTCTCCACGCAGCTTCTCTTCTCCAGGCTGAACAGCCCCAATGTTCTCAGCCTGCCTCGATAAAGGAGGTGCTGCAGCCCCTGAGCATCTTCATGGCCTCCTCTGGACTTGCTCCAACAGCTCCATGTCCTTCTTATGTTGAGGACACCCGTGGGAAGCTGCTGTAAGGTCTCCCCGCATCTTCTCTTCTCCAGGCTGAACAGCCCCAATGTTCTCAGCCTGCCTCGATAAAGGAGGTGCTGCAGCCCCTGAGCATCTTCATGGCCTCCTCTGGACTTGCTCCAACAGCTCCATGTCCTTCTTATGTTGAGGACACCAGGACTGCACACAGTGCTGCAAGTGTGGTCTACTGTTACACTGTAGTTATATTTTATATTACTAGATCTTTAGATTTCCAACCAAAGCTGCAGGTCTTACTGGCTTTTCCCAGTACAGAAAACAGATCAGATCATATTTTGGTTGCTCTGGAGTAGTTTCAGCTACGCTTTATAGAATGAAGAATTAGTGGATCTCACAGAGAAGTTCTGAGATAACTTTTCCCATTTGCAGTTACATTGTGCATGTACAGTTCTCCAGTACTTTATACTGGAGTACATATTGTATAAAGCTGCTTTCATTCTAAAATGCACATATATTTAAATCCCACCTTCAGCACGCTGTTGTTTCTCCTGTAGTTATAAGCTGCTAGTTGTGTCCTGTTCTGAATTTGCACAGGTTTTGTTTGATACACAATTCCCATGTGCTTCTGTGCTCCGAAGCAGCATGTGGATTGCCACGCTGGCATTTTGTTCTGCCAGCAAGTTCACACAAACTTCTGATGCTTATTTCAGGAACGGGGCACTAGAGGAGGGGAAGCCTGTGGATCTTGTTCTGAGCTGCGTGGACAACTTTGAAGCTCGCATGGCGATTAACACGGTAAGGCCATTGAGGGCATGAGCTTGTGGAAGTCTCTTTTTTCCTATAAGTAATGTTAGGAAATGTGGGGACTAGAGAAAAGACAGGGACTTATCAAAATGTTCTAAGAAGTTTCCTCCTGGGTTTAAGGAAACAGAATCTGAGCTTTTACCCTGTTCTCATAAAACACGTTTTATGTGCATAAATATAACTGTAGACCTTTAAGTTTCTAAGTTTCTAGCAGCCAATGGTTAGTAAGAGAGTTAAGTGTTGTAAGCCCTCTCCATCTTTCCAAATTATTCTATTTATATAAAGGTATGATCAAAGCCTGGGATGTTAGAGCTTTCAAACTTTTTAAAGACTGTGTATAGCTAATTGTATACTTCATGTCACTTCTTGTATACTTGTATATAAAAGTGTCTTTAGGCTGCATGCCTAATCAAACTATGTTTATAGTAGCAGCAGAGTATATGCCAAGTGCATGTTTTCTGTTATCCTTTGGCTTACACGATCCATAAATTGCATGCACCGAAGGTCCACAGATACACTTTGTAATAGTAGTTTGTGCAATGAGATTCTGTAGCATGCTGGTAACAGGATCACTAATGCCCATAGTCATTCAAGAATGTCAGGTCTTCAGGAAAGCACAAAGGACATACATGAACATACGAAGGGCGTGTCCATCCTGAGGGCAGCTTTAAGTTGTCCTTTGACTGACAAATAATTTCTGCTCTACTTTTTTTCTGATTGTAGCCTTTTTGTCTTAAAGCAGGAAGATCAATGTGTTTAACCCCTCTCAATTTACACTGTTTTGTGTGTGGTTTTGTTTTGGTATTTCTGCATTTTTAAGGCCTGCAATGAACTTGGACAAATCTGGATGGAATCTGGAGTGAGTGAAAATGCAGTGTCAGGACACATACAGCTGATCATACCTGGGGAATCAGCATGTTTTGCGGTATGCAGTGCTCTGCTGAGCTGCTTGTTTGGCTCTTAAAGCAGGGCTGGGAACGTGAAGATGAGCTGGCTAGTGATTGTGATCCTGGCACAGGGGGTAGTTTAAAATCTTGTGTGATCTGGGGGGAGGTTTTAATACTTCTTCTAAAACTTCCTTTCTTTCCCCTCAGTGTGCTCCTCCACTCGTAGTTGCTGCAAATATTGATGAGAAAACACTAAAACGAGAAGGAGTTTGTGCAGCGAGTCTCCCTACAACTATGGGTGTTGTGGCAGGAATTCTTGTACAAAATGTTCTCAAGTAAGTGACCGAGTTGTTGCTATTCAGTGTTCAGCAAAAGGAGAGAAAGAAGCCTTTCTTGAAAGAAAGAAGCCTTTTTTGAGCAAGCTGGTCCAGTTGGAGATGTCCCTGCCTGTGGCAGAGGGTTAGAACTAGGTGATCTTAAGGTTCTTTCCAGCCCAAACTATCCTGTGATTCTGTGATGGTGCACTGTGTCTTACATGGTCTCTGAGAACAGGATTTTATTTAACTGGTTTTAGCTTAGTTTGGTTTTTTCAGTTGTCAAAAAATTTCTAGTTACAAATAATAGAAGTACTGTTTGCAGGTGTGCCTACAGAAGTCAAAGCTCCATTTTCAGCTTTCTGAAAGCTTCCGTGCAGAAAAGCATTATATAAAACTGCATAGCAGCACGTGTTTTTCTCTAATGAAGAATGCAGACATTGCAGTTTCATTTATATCACGGAATTACAGACAGGTTTGGGTTGGAAGGGGCCTTAAGATCATCCAGTTCCAACCCCCTGCCATGGGCAGGGACACCTTACACTAGACGATGTCACCCAAGACTCTGTCCAACCTGGCCTTGAATACTGAGGGGCAGGATCCACTCCCTCGACCTGCTGCTCACGCTGCTTTTGATGCAGCCCAGCACATGGTGGGGGGTTTCTGGGCTCAAGCACACACTGAAGCAGCTCATGTTCAGTTTCTCATTGACCAACACCCCCAAGTCCTCCTCAGTCTGCTCTGAATCTCTTCTCTGCCCAATATGTAGCTGTGCCTGGGATTGTCCCGACCCAGGTGTAGGACCTTGCACTTAGGTTGGTTGAACTCCATGAGGCTGGCATTGGCCACCTCTCAAGGGGTCCAGGTTTGTATGTTTATTTCCATTGCAGCTTTGACCCTCCAGTAAAGATGGTTAAGCTGGTTCTGATTCACTGTTGAAAACTCCCTCATTGTAATACAGGGCAACTGAGTGTTTGAAGCAGTGGATTAAGGCAGAGGAGAAAACTTCTCATGTGCTACTCTAAACATACTTTCTGTGAGACTGCAATTGACCTGTTCTCACACTTACATCAGAAGAGCCCTGGGTTCTATGTTGATGCAGTTATCCCATTGTCAGGTGACTACAGCTTATTTCAAGACAATTACAGTAACTCTTTACAACTTCACTAGTGTGAAAGTGTATTCTTAAAGTTCTTTGAGGAAAAAGGATCCCTTGAGCAACTGAATTTGTTTATAAGGGCCTGCTTTCTCTGTGTTTCTAGGTACCTGTTAAACTTCGGTACTGTGAGTTACTATCTCGGTTACAACGCAATGCAGGATTTCTTTCCAACTATGTCTATGAAGCCAAACCCACAATGTAGTGACCAAAATTGCAGGAAACAGCAAGAAAATTATAAGGTAAAAATGGTTGGTTGGTTTGTTGTGGTTTGCTTTTTGTTTTCTCTCCTTACTTAAAGTCTTAAGAACAAAGCACGCTCCAGATCTGTAGCAGAAGAAAACTTCAGCAGCCTTGTCTTCAGATGGTTGCATGTGTTTCTAAAGGCACAGTACTTAGAATTATCTCAAAGCAAAGGGGAGGCAGAACTGACATTCAGTTAAATAATATTTTCTTCTACAGTGATTACTCAACCTTTCTGGCAGTCATGGTTTTGAGTGTTAATGGGTTTGGGTTTTTCCCTTGTAGGTATTCTGCCTTTTTATGCCCCACGAAGTTCTAAATAGTGACCACATACCTTAAATAGTAGAAGGAGTGTTAATATTAGATATGCTTTTTCTTGCTGTTGTTAGACTACTACATATATTATGGTTTTTATCCTTTTGTGGTTTTCCTTCAGAAAAAAGCAGCTGCACAACCAAAACAAGAAGTAATTGAACAGCAAGAGGAAATAGTACATGAAGACAATGACTGGGGTACGTATTCAACCGTAGGCTAAACCATGTTCCCAGTATGGAGATTCAGTTAAACTCTCTGGTTTGGGTAACACACTGCAGCATACATGGACTCCTTATGTTACCAGCTTTTGTAACTTACACTGTGTAGCTCCTGCTGGCTTTTCACAGGATTTGACAGTAACATTACCACAACTCAGTGGTGTATTTTTAGTGTAACATGCAGGTTTTAGCCTCAAAATGTAACAGCTGTTTGAATAAGAAACTTTGTCAGGAGATAGTCTGAAGCTATGAAAGGTGTGCGAAGATTTTACTCACTGTGTAACTAAGTATGTAACTAAAGAGCATTGTTATTCCCATACCCAGTGTGCTGAACCATCCCCTGGATCTTTACGTTCCTCTCAGGGCTTTAAGTTAGAAAGATTGCCTTAAGGAATGGTGTGTTTTATATAACCATTTCAAGAATGGATATATACATTCTGTTTATTACATGATACAGAAAATAATCTTAGCTCACATTGGGAGAAGTGCGCTCACAGTAAGATTTAAATGGAAAGGAGAAGGAAGTGCTGTAGGAGAGGTACCATTCTCGTCCATAAATTTTAATACATTTTGAAGGGAAGATATTTTGTATTGATCATGGAACAGAGAAGTTGGAATCAAAGATCTTTCTCCTTTTATTTTTTTTTACTCTTTTGGGAAAGTCTCTGCTCTTTTCCTCTCACTGTGGTAACTTAGTGCTTGAAGAACTTGTTCTTCTAACTGTTAATGGAGTTCTCAATTCGTTTTAATGCAAAGGTATTGAATTAGTATCAGAAACTTCAGAAGATGAGCTGAAGGCTGCATCTGGCCCGGTTCCTGAGCTTCCCGAGGGCATTACTGTAGCATACACTATCCCAAACAAGGTAATGTATGTATACTGTATGCATTTTTGAAATATGTCTGGTAGATTAGATTTCTAATAAGCAGCCAGTCTGGTTACCCTTTAAACCTACACTAAAACTCCATTTGGAACAATCCCAGTGCAGCTGTACCTCAGTGCATCCCATTAGTGCTTTCTGTGGTCCAGGTTTGTGCTTCTGTAGAAGATACTTAAGGATGGATGTCAGTGTGACTGTAGTTTTGAGGTGACAGGAATGAATGTATTTGGGGAGTGGGGGGAAGGAAAATGTGAATTTCTCAGTTGATATTTTGGTGACTAATTGATTTTTACCATATTTATCTTGTAAAAGCTGTGTGTAGTCAAAGAGCAATTCATATGCCTGGGGAACACAGAATCTGTGATTGCAGCCAGAACACTCTTAACTCCCTGTCAGAACAGTTTACAATTTAAACTGACAATTACTTAGGCCTAATGCTGCAATTGAGAAGTAAAGCTTATTTGTGGGGGGCTTTTTGTTTGCTACTCTTGATGCCAGCATTTTCTTCCTGTTCCTAATAGGAAGAGAATTTGGTAACTGAGGAAGCAGTAGCAGAATCTGAAGAAAGCCTAGAAGAACTCATGGCCAAAATGAGAAACATGTAGCAAGTATTAAGTACAACTCTGGGGAGTCTGGATTCACACTGGATTATGAGAAGACCACACTTTTTTTTCCTCCTTTTTTACCTCCACTGAAGCGTATCTTTGCATTTCTAATGAAATGGAACTGTTACAGGGGCAGGAAGGAGATGCAGTTACATTGTACATAGGGAGCTGTGCTACTGTAAACTGTAATTTCTAAGCACTCCTAGTGTCCAGCTACTCAGTAGGAAATAAAAAGAGATGGACAAACTAATGAAGAAGTTCTTCCCTGTGAGGGTGCTGAGGCGCTGGCACAGGGTGCCCAGAGAACCTGTGGCTGCCCCATCTCTGGCAGTGTTCAAGGCCAGCTTGGACACAGGGGCTTGGAGCAACCTGCCCTAGTGTGAGGTGTCCCTGCTTGTGGCACGGGGTTGGAACTGGGTGAGCTTTAAGGCCCCTTCAACCCAAACCATTCCATGCTTCTATGAAACTCATAAAAGCAAGCACAGCACGATACATGCACCATCATGTGGTGAGAACAGAACATAGTATAAGACAAGTGGAAGATGAGATCTGCTGGAGAGCACTGGGTAGGCCAAGGGCAGATAGTACCTCACTCATACTGCTGCTCCTGATTTTCCAGGCACTTGTACTTGGTTGTTGCTCACTGGACTCTGTATTCTTGGCATGGATCGTGCTGTGACTATTTATCTGAGTAAATAGAACATTTCAGCCTTTTCATCCACTTTATATATTGCTAGAATGGAATTTTTTTAAACTACCCTGGGTTTATCAATGTTTTACTACTGCTTGTTCTTAAATAGCTGCCTGTATGTTTTGTATGGGATAATGCTTTCAGTGCACTGCAACAAGGCGAAGTCTCTAGTTAGTAGTAACTATACTAGCAAACTGGGTATTACCATTGCCACTACTTCAGCTGGCAGATGCTTTTTTGGACACAATCTATAAGAATTACCAGCACCACTGGAGAGAACAGGAGATGTTGTCTATCTCTTTGAAAATCTCCCTAGTTTTGTTGGTTATTTAAAGTTCAGCTGTAATTCTGATCCATCCCCATCATATGGGCTATATTAAGGAATACACTTCAGCTGAGTTTGCATAGGAAGGCTTCTAAAATTAGATGCTCTAAACTTCATTTAGTATTGCAAGTATCTTCAGTGGAGTAGCTGAGCTATTGTATTTGTTATGTAAATAACATTAGTACAGCCATAGTACCTTTAAATTATCACCTGTTAAACTGACCTGTAAATGTACATCCTGCACAACTGGAAGTATCCATTTCAACTATTTGAGTTACTGTGGGTGTCAGATCCAGAATTTGATCATTATTGAGATTTAGAGAACATCAGTTGCGTTATAAAACACGTATTTCCACCTTGGGCTCTTCAGAAACTACCCTTCCACAGTGTGATGCAGCCAACACAGAACCAGGTTGTAATTAACGGTAGTAGTATCCAACCAGCATGTAAAAGGAGAGCAATGCTGTGCAGGTGCTTCTGGTCCTTAATTAAAAATAGTTTGATTTCTAAGCACTGCTTATAAACTTCAATATCTGTTTCCTCCACAGTTGACACTAGGTCTTATATACATAAAAGTCATCCATGAAAGTGGTGAGGGAGGTTTTGGCTGTGGAGCGTTAAACTGTTAAATGGAAGTGGGGTTTTGGATTGATTCCAGTTCTGAAGCAAGCAGATTTTAGAAATGAACTGTAAACAGGGATAGGAAGCAGAATGATGATATCATTAACAAGGTACATGCTTGAATCTGTGTCACTTAGTCTACATTAGCTTGATGTAAGTCTCATGTTAAGTGTTACTGTCATTCCTGTGTGACTTTACCTTTCTGTTCGGAGCAATGAAGTGAAGCCTGGCTCTGGAGATCCTGAGGCCAATGGTTGACTCGCTTCTACAAGAGCTCAGTTAATCTTGCCTCTTCATTGTTTGCTGGCACGACTGCTACACACAACTGACACCTTTACAAGAGGCAAGCATTTACCATTATACTTCATAGAGAGTTTTATGAGCAAAGTAATACACTCTGTATGCTCGCTTACAGAGTGTGCAGGGTGGTTCTCGTGTTACTTTCAGCTTGTGTATACAAGAACTTGAAATAATTAGAAAACACATTAAGATGACTGTATGTGCCAATGGTTAAAACGATTTAAAAATAAACAGCATCAAAGAAAAAGCAGTTTCAAGGAATTTTTTAGATTAAAAAGACATTTACAAGTGTAATCTACTCTGATTATAAAACATGAAGGAAGATCTCTGACTTCTTTTATTATGAACTAACAAATTAAAGCATTTTGCAATGGTTTAGCCCGGCTTTGTTTATTTGGCAATTGTATAAATGAAGCTTTCTGTTTTTACAGTCATCATGACTCTTACTGACATGTTGATACTGACTCTATGATTAAATCTCCATTGAAACTGGTGATGCTCTGTTAAGGTGGAGTTTTCTACATAGAAGCATCATTTGGCATACACCAGATACACAAGTTGCTTTTTAAAGTCCATGAGGCACAACTGCAAATACATGGACAACTGTCTCAAGAGCACTGTGACTAGAGCTGCATCAGCTCATGGCCAACATGCAGCATGCAAGACCCTCCACCATTACTCATGGTCCTGTTTTACTTCCTGTAGAAGGTTTTCTTCGGGTTGACAGCTAAAGCATGTTGTTTCCTCACCATCTTTGCTAACGGAGCATGGATGGTTGGGATCTGCTACTTTTTAGGGACTGATTTTTCTCCTAAAATCAAGCCTGCAACCTGTGAGTGAGTTGGAAAGAAGTCACTCAAGGGAAGAATTGTGACAGTTCAGAACTGAAAATCACTAAATGGGGCAAGCCTGATCCTTTCTAGACCTCCAGTGCTGTATGTTCTCATTGAAGATAACGTTAAGGAAAACTATTTAGGAGAACAAGATACATCATTACACATTTTAAAATCAGAAGAGGTGACAACCTTGAGCAGATGTCTGCTAATTCCCAGCACTGGCTTTGGAGGAGGGAACTGCCAACTCTGAGCAGAGCAGGCAACAGAAACCCCCACAAGCTGAGAAGGTTGAGGTTTTGGGGGGTGGGGTGGTTTGTGTGTTCTTTTTTACCTTTTTCTCTTTTCCTTCTCTTTAGTAACAATCCTGAAAAGAACTTCCCAATTTCCAGAACTTCTCAAGGGGACTGGAATAGAGGGGAAAAACTCCTGCTTTGATTAAAAAACCATTTTCTGAAGTAAGGATTAAATACCCAGAGAGCTATTACAAAGTGTCAGCTGCTGTTGCTGTACTGTAATACTTCCAAGAGCTATTTGGGATTTTTTCAACTACATCTTAACCTCTAGAATCAGATTTGGGTTGTATATTTGTTCCATCAGGTTTATATACTGTTTCCTTTGCTAAGTTACACCCTTACCAAAATGTTAAACTCCTTCTAACCAGAACAAGGGCTGAAATGGGTTATAGTTAACTGCTTTAAAAGGGAGAAAATACCATGGAAGGGAAGTACCATTCCAAGGTGATGGTCACTTGCATTTTTCAATCAAATTTAGATCAAATAGATGTTTAAATCAGTTGCCACTAAAACATTATAGTCAAGTTTCAATTAATTTTTCACTTACGTTTAATAAAAAAAGTCGTCTTTTTAGTATGTATTTAAATTGATTCATGGATTGATGCTGGAGAGGGACTCTTCATCAGGGCCTATAGTGATAGGACAAGGGGTGATGGGTTCAAACTGAAACAGGGGAAGTTCAGGTTAGATCTAAGGCAGAAGTTCTTCCCTGTGAGGGTGCTGAGGCGCTGGCACAGGGTGCCCAGAGAAGCTGTGGCTGCCCCATCCCTGGCAGTTGTCAAGGCAGGTTGGACACAGGGGCTTGGAGCAACCTGCTCTAGTGTGAGGTGTCCCTGCCTGTGGCAGGGGGGTGGAACTGGGTGAGCTTTAAGGTCCCTTCCATCCCAAACAAGTTTGGGATTCTATGACTGAATTGGAATGAACAGACTTCTAACTGATTCTTCCAGCTGACCAGGGTATTAAGAAATACAGCAGGCAGGTAGATTTGATTAGCATCTTTTTATCTGATGGAAATCTATTTTGCATTACTAAGTTTTTCCAACTAATACAAATATTCTTGTATTTTACGGGATTCTATGAGATTAAATAGCAAAAGAATTGCTAAAGGGTTAACAACAGGGAATCAGGTTATCATCATCATTATTCTGGTTCCTCACTGCAAGTATTTTTACTGGACAAAGCTGAATCTGACAACAGCTTTAGCTGTAGATGAGGGTATATTTAGATATTAGCTGCCCAAGGAAACCAGTTATTTTTGGAGAAGTCCCTTGAATGTAAGTCTCTTCAAGCTGAAGCCACCCTGCAGGTACAACTTCGGGTGGAATGGTATTTTGACTTATTCAAAATTACTCTCTCTTTAGAAAACTCCTTTAAAAGCTTCTAAAAAGGCAGGAAGGATGGATAAAAACTAAAAATACACAAATCCTCTAAGCCAAGCTCTTCCAACCTAGAAATAAAAACTACTCCATAGAGTATATACAATTGGTTTCACTGATCTTGTTCGAGTCCTGGCACTTAAGCTAAGAGGTAACCAATCCATGGGTTTGGTAGTAGCTCTAACTTCAGCTAGTAACTAATGTGCCTATGTATATACAATGAAGCTCACTTCGTACCATGCAGTCTGCAAAGTTAACCTGGAAGGATTCCAAGCTTCAACATGTGTCTCCTTGTCTTTCATGAAGACAGTGGTCAGTCCCAAAATAGTACATTATTTCAGGAAAAATAGATACTCTTAGTAATTGCATGTCTGCTTTAAAATAGCAACAGAGCCTGCCTTTCCTTGGAGCAGGTTTGTATCACCGTTGTCCATGTTCCAGGAAAATATTGGGTGATAATGCACTTTTTAAGCTGAATGTATCTCCACTTGATGAGTGTCGAGAAGTTGCTTTTCCACCTATCAACAAAGTCTCTGCTTCTTTTATTTCCATAGCTCTTTTGTACAGTTCAGCTGCCTTCTCAAAGTCTCCCCCTTCATAGCTTTGGAGAAGAGTAAAACAAAGTTGAAACAAGCAAATAAAACAGGTCTCTCATTTCATTTAAACTGAAATGCACACCACGCTATTGCCGAAATGTGCTTAAGGCTCTCCACCTGCCTATTAAGTACACAAGACCAGGATGTTTTGTTTCATCCAATAATTCTTATAGTAATTTGCTTTTATAGGGCTAAAGCATATAATCTTACCTAAGCACAGCCAAGTTCTTCAGAGTTTCCCCCACACGAGGATGCATGTGCCCAAAGCTGTCTTCATAAATCTTTAGTGCCCGTTCATAGAGAGGTAAAGCTTCAATCTGCTTTTTCTTTGGGTAGTAGAGAGTTGTTTGTTACAGATGTATATTACACTTGTAATTCTTTTTGCTAACAGATTATCAACACATCCTAGATGCAAAATCATGCATATTTAACCAGAAAGGTGTTTCGAGCTCTTGATACTGTTGACAGATGAGGATAGTAATTGAGATTGCCAGAGCAATTGGTTTGCCTTTGCAAATGCAATCCCCCCCCCTAATATTGTAATAATTGGGGGCTGGACTTCTAGGCAGTTTTGAAAGATCTCAATCCTGAAAGCCTTGGGTTACCAAATGCTCTTTCATTTTACCTGAGGCAGCTTTAATCCTTGTTTAAAATCAGATTTGCATATTGCAGAAATAGAGAAAACAAAATCTACAGCGTGCTCCTAGTGATCTTAAGTAAGGAATGTGGTAAATTGATTTGCTTTTATCAAATTGATTGCATCGCCTTTGAATTTCATATTAGTTGTAGACTAGGAAGTCTACAGCCTTCTCAGATTTTATTATACATAGAATCACAGACTGGTTTGGGTTGGAAAGGACCTTAAGATCATCCAGTTCCAACCCCCCACCATGGGCAGGGACACCTCATGCTAGACCATGTCACTCAAAACTCTGTCCAACCTGCCTTGAACACTGCCAGGGATGGAGCATTCACCACTTCTCTGGGCACCCTGTGCCAGCGTCTCAGCACCCTCACAGGGAAGAACTTCCTCCTTAGAGCCAACTTGAACTTCCCCTGTTTCAGTTTGAACCCATCAGCCCTTGTCCTGTCGCTACAGTCCCTGATGAAAAGTCCCTCTCAAGCATCCTTGTAGCCCCCTTCAGACACTGGAAGGCCTCACTGGACAGAGCCTTGAGCAACATGGTCTAGTGTGAGGTGTCCCTACCCATGGCAGGATGTTAGAACTGGATGATCTTAAGGTCCTTTCCAACCCAAACGATTCTATGAGTCTACGATTCAAAGGGTTGTGTTTCTCTGAGTCAGCAGTGGAGCTGTGTTCCCTCATAGTGTGACAACCCTGTCACTGGCAATGTTGTGTTCTAGACCTACTCTTATAAAACGTAAGACAGGACTAATAAACACGTAAGACATGAAGCACTTACCATCTGACAGTAAAGGACAGCCAGATTGACCAAAGCAGTTGCCACACTGGGGTGTTTTGGGCCGAATGACTTCTGTCGGATTTCAACTGCCAGTTCGTACAGAGGGACAGCCTTGTCAAGTTTTCCCTAGAAACAACGGGGGGGGGGAATGATTCAGTTCTTTTATGACAAAATGGCAACAGTAAAATCTATTTTAAACAAAAACCCTCAGAGAAGATGTAACTGTTTCCAGAATAAAGGTTTAACTTTAGTTAATTCATAGTTATATTCTGCACAGATTGTTTATCATGAATATTGATTAGGACCTGATTTCCCTCAACACTGAGCACATTCAACTCCCAGGTGATGTGTTTCTCATCTATGCCCATTTCTTTCTTTAAGGATGTATATCTTCCCCACAAGTGTGTCACTGAGAAGGCTGCTAAAAAGAATATTCCAGCATACTTTTATCCAAATCATTTTCTCCATTTGTATTTCCTCATCCTACCATAGACGAGAGCAGAGCTCATTTTTTGTCCTGAAGGGCCTTCATTTTACTGGTGACACGGGTATGGGAATGTAGCTGCCTTAACTTTTGGGCAGTTTTCCACATACTGAAGTGGTGTTCACACTAACAGCCATAGTGTCCAGTGCCATTTCAAGTACCTATTGCTTCCCATTTGCCATATTCAGGCTTTGGCTTCTTGACTCTGGTTTCTCTAAAATACCTCTCTCATATTCCAGCTAGTTTTACTGGAGGTTATTTTTCCAGCAAATCTGTTTTCTTCCAAATTCCAATCTGCTCACATATTAACTGGATATACTTCAGAAGTATGTTTAGGCTTCTATTCTTAGCATGCGAATTCTAAGCAATTAAATACCGCAAACTTCCACTGTAATGGTGAGAAATGGCTCCCTGGAATTGCAAAATTAAAATCAAATTTTCTCCTTATTTTTTCAAAGCATCACCAGTTTGAAGACGATCAGTAACTCATCTAGAATAAATACTTACTTATAAATACTTCTCATTTTAGAATCCCAAACTGGTTTGGGTTGGAAAGGACCTTAAAGCTCATCCAGTTCTAAAACCCTGCCATGGGTAGGGACACCTTCCACTAGACCAGGCTGCTCCAAGCCCTGGCCTTGACCACTGCCAGGGATGGGGCAGCCACATCTTCTCTGGGCACCCTGTGCCAGCGCCTCAGCACCCTCACAGGGAAGAACTTCTGCCTTAGATCCAACCTGAACTTCCCCTGTTTCAGTTAGATATAAGGAAGAAAGTCTTTTTCTGCATCTGATTCCTGTCCCTCCTCTTCTTCCAATCTTCTCTGCATTGCTAGTTCACCACAAATTTTAATTTGTGCTACTTTAAACTAGCAAAGAGTGTTCTGATGCAAATACAGAGTGGTTTTGCAGTTCCTAGCAGCATGAAAATTAGAAGCTGAAGTGAGCAGAGAATACGTGACACCGTACTTCATGCATGTAAGAGCAGGAAACAATTATGGAACAAAAACACAGGAACATTTGATCCAAGGGATTATCTTCAAGGACTCTCTTCTCTTTGAAGAATGGCAAAATGTGAAAATATGAAAGAAAACCTTCCTTATCCTCCGAATCTGGTC